TTCAAGATCACATTGCAAATTTCTACTCCACTCTTTTCTCTTCAGAAGGATCATGGCGAGGTGAATCAATTCTTCACAACATTTCTCCCTCAATCACTGCTGAGATGAACCAGACCCTTATCTCTCCTATCCATGAGGAGGAAATCCATGCTGCTCTTTCAGTCTTGAGCCAGACAAAACTCCAAGGGAGGATGGTATGTCTGCTCTATTTTACCAGAAGTTTTGGATTATAATCAAATCTGACCTTATATTTGCCATTAAAATCTCCTTTGAGAGTGGTCTGATGCTCAAATACTGGAACCACACTATAGTGACTTTTATTCCCAAATGTCTGAATCCAGAATACATTTCTCAATTCAGGCCCATTAGCTTGTGTACTGTTGTTTACAAGGTGGTGTCCAAAATCCTGGCTTTAAGGTTAAAATCTTGTCTCACTTCATGCATAAGTGAATATCAATCTGCTTTCATTAAGGATAGACAGTTGTTGGAATGGCTGTGTATCAAAAAGATCATGCTGCAAATGGGGTTTTGTCAGCAATTTGTCAATCTGATCTTGATTTGCATTTCTTCCTGCTCTTATTCAGGTGAATGGAGTTATCAGTGGCTTTGTTCACCCCTCTAGGGGAATCAGACAGGGGAACCCCTTGTCCCCCTACCTGTTTATAATTGTGGCTGAGATTCTCTCTGTTCTTGTGTCTGCATCAGTGGTTTCTAGTCATTATTTTTGCATGAGGTTATCTAGAAATGGACCTGCTCTTTCACATTTTCTATTTGCAGACGACTCCTTATTTTTCTGTAAAGCCTCTATGGATCAAGCTGGCCTTCTCTTGAACTTGCTGGAAAAGTTATAGACTATTCACTGGTCTTTCTATGAATTTGCTGAAATCTGCTATTTTTTTCAGCAAAAACTGCCCTGCCACTCTCTAATCTAGAGTCTGTTCTGCTCTTAATGGCATTCGCTCTCACAGGTCTACAAGATACTTGGGACTACCTCTTGGCATAGGTAAGTCCAAACTTGATATGTTTCAATATGTGGTTGACTCTGTGAAGGCTAGATTTCAAATTTGAAAGTCAAATCTACTATCCTCAGCAGGTAAAGAGGTGCTCATTAAGGCTGTGTTGCAGGCATTACCCATCTTTTCTATGTCTTGTTTTAGGCTTCCATCAGCTATCTGCTCTGATATTGCTAGGCTTTGTGCTCAATTCTGGCAAAGAAATGGAGATTCCAATTCTCAAGGAATACACTGGAAGTCTTGGTCTAAATTGTCTCTCCTCAAGGCCTGTGGTGGACTGGCTTTCAAGACATCAAGAACTTCAGCACAGCTCTCATCTGTAAACAACTTTGGAGAGTGCATACTCAACCTGATTTGTTAATGAGCATAATTTTAAAAGGTAGGCACTTTTCAAACTGCTCTTTATTTGAGGCCAACAAACCTACAAACTGCTCTTGGCTCTGGTCAACTTGGCTGGAGGTGCTTCCTCTTTTTTTTTTTTCCAAAGGCTTTGCTGTTGAGATTAGGTCAGGTGCTAACAATATGTTATCTGATGTGAATTGAGTGCCTAAATTAAACAAACTCAGACCTGACCTTCTTGAATTAGCCAAAGGCCACATAACTTGGGTCAAAGAACTGCTAAATACCTCTGGCACAGGGTGGAATTCTTGGCTTGTATCTTAGCTTTTCAATGAAGAAGACTGTAAGGCCATCTTGGATATCTCAACTCTGAAACCTGGGGCTGCTGACAGATTTTTATGGTCCTTTGATAAGAGAGGTATGTTTTCAGTTTCAAGCACTTATACTCATCTCTCTACTCAGAAACTGCTCTCCTTCAATTTGCCCAACAACAGCTCATCCTCTTTGGGAGTCAATCATAGCTTCAATAGATGCTGGAAACATAAGGTGGCTGGCAAAATCCAACACTTCATCTGGAAGTGTCTTTCCAGAACTTTGCATGTGAAAGAGAATCTCAGGAAAAGAGGGCTCGAGGTGGATGTCATTTGTGAGATGTGTGGAAAGAACTCAGAATCAATAGAGCATATACTGTTCCATTGTCATGCTGCAAGAAGAACTTGGGACCTTTCGCTAGTCTCTTGGGATGGACTCAGCTCTTATTCAAACTCATTCTCATGCTGGTGGTCTCATCTCAGCTCTCTTTGCAAGACTGGTATATCTGAAGCCTGGATAGAACTCACTACGTATATGCTATGGTGGCTTTTGGAAATCCAGAAACCTCTGGATTTTTCAAAAGTCCACTCTGCCCCCTCATCTGGTAGTCAAATTTGCTCACAGAGACTGGCTTGACTTCTCCTTTGCTCGGTTGTAGCTTCTTTTCTGGGTCATTGTTGTTGGTTTAGCTTGTTGTTTGTTGTAGGTTGCTTTGTTTCTTTTCTTTGGTTTGATGTTGTTTTTGTTTTGATGTTCATCTAGGCTTTGGCAATGGATGGTTTGATTAGTTCTTGATGTTTTAGTTGAGGTTCTAGGCCGCATTGATGCGTGTCCTCTCATTTTTCTCTTTTTTAGTTTTGTCAAATGTATTTGAACAGTTGTTCCGTTGGTAATAGATATCTCTATCGTTCCGGAAAAAAATCCCTATCTTGCTAAACAAGTAAATTCCAAATAATATTAAATATGCACCTACCAACTAGGAAAAGGATAAATAAAACATCATAATAAAATAACTAGGAAATAAATAATTAAACTAAGGAAGATAATGATCATATTTCTCCATAAATGCCAACACGATCTCGTCTCCATCATCCTCCCCTAGTTAGGAAGCATTCGCCCTCGAATCTGGAATGATCTCGTCTCCGTCCGGATTTTCACCTAAGTAAGGAACCAAATGTTTCACGTTGAAGAAGTCCGAGGTGCGAATATGCGAAGGTAAACGAAGACGGTAAGCATTGGGATTAATCTTCTCGACGATCTCAACCACGCCAATCTTGCGAGCGGCTAACTTATTGTACTCATGTGCCGTGAACCGGTCCTTAGTGAGCACTGCCCAAACGAAATCGCCCACCTCAAACTCGACATGTCGACGTCGAGCATCCGCACGTCGCTTGTAGTCTGCGGTAACCACCTCCAAAGGAGCTCGGGTGGACTCGTGTGTGTGCCACAAGTCAGAAATGAGATCCTCCGCGCGCTGGTCAGATGATGCGGGTGAGGGCAAGTCTAACAAATCCACGACACTCCTCTGGCGAACCGCATAGACCACCTCAAACGGAGAAAACCCCGTGGCCCAACTTCGAGCTAAATTATGGGCAAACTAAGCCTGTGGGAGGCGTTGGTCCCAACTCTTCAGGTTGTTGCCTGCCAAACAGTGCAATAGGTTCCCAAGCGAGCAGTTGACGACCTCCATCTGGCCGTCCGTGTGAGGATGATAGGCACTACTGAAATCCAACCGCGTGTTTGCGAGACGCCACAGACTACGCCTAAAATGGCTAAGAAAGCGTGTGTCACGGTCGGAAACAATAGACGACGGTAGACCATGCAGACGATAAATCTCATGAAAGAATAAATAACGACATGAACTGCATCTGCGGTCCGCTTGCAAGGAATGAAATGGACCATTTTCAAAAAACGGTCGACTAC